TCGAATTCCTTGATGATCTATTTAAAGTTTTAAAACATGTAGATTTTGATTGGGTTGGACTGCAAAGTATCCCGATTTCATATGAGGTTGTCACGTTGTCTGATTGTGTAAATATGATGATACAACGAGGTTTGAGAAGTAGTATTTATTTTTCTCAGAATATGTAAAAGTATATAGGCCTACAGTATGATCTAGATATCAGTAGATAATGCCGAAAAGATTGTGTCATCTCTCGCACTGTTAGTTATTCAAACTGATACCAAAATCAAGATGACAGGCAATTTTGACTTAATCTTCACTTAAACTTCAAATGTGATATACCTCTAAAAGTAAAAGCCCGGGTCTTATAAAATTTTGTTTCAATATGGATTGATATGGAACGTCAAATTCAATATGACCTGGGAATGATTGACTGTTTTACAAGTCATATAGCTAAAAAGAAAGAAAGAAAAACGAAACAAAAGAAAGAAAGTAAAGAAACGCGGTTCAGATAAAACTAATGAAACAAATAGTTTTGACCTTTAATAGTCATTCAATTACGAATGGCAAACCCTTACAATTTCTTTAAAGTGGTTTTGAGAGGTTACCGTTTTACACATTTAATTATATAACGAGAGTAATGCTCTTTGAAAATAATATGATATATTAAATTCTACGCTAAAATTTCATTCAAATACCACCAAAGTCATGAAGAATAATGGTAGGGGCGAAAAACCTCAGTTCCAAAACTCCAAAGTCAATTTGTACTAATGATAAAAATGGCGATGCCGTCTAGAAGCGAAATCCATCATTTTCATTTTAAAAAGGAAATGGTCCAATTAAATTCATTGAAAACTCGCCTATCAATCATCGGAGCCTATTGTGTTTTCGTTTGATAGATTACCAACACATGCTCATTGGATCATTGGGGCGTGTCTTCCCATTGATTGGAACACCATTGGTTCTATATTGTACCCCAAGAATAACCATACTTGTACCCCTCAAGGGGTACATGGCAGGCCCTCTAAACCACATGTATTATCTACCCACTGAGGGCTCGTTAGCAAGTGCAATTTGGGATTTGGAGTCTACTAATTTAATCACAATTGGGACCAAGTCATCCTTGAAATAAGATGTATTCTTTTCACCATTGATCTAAATGCTGACTATTTACTGAATAACTTCGCGTTTCCCAACTGTCGATCAAAACTACAAAAGGTGTCCTAAAGCTGGTTTGTTTTCTCTATAGAGTCAACTTTCAGACTCTTGAATGCATGTTAAGTGATGGTAAAAGGAACATAATCAGGTATGGAATGAACTGTTTGGAATGAATTTCATACAATTGGATTCCATACAGGTTTTTTTTTTCTTGACTGCAAATCAGAATTGCCACGACACGACCAATGATGTTGATCATTACCCCTCGATCTTGCCTCCTCAGTCTTGTCAATGACCACTGCATCCGGTCATGACCATTGTATCTCAATGGACAATTGGTCTATGCCTGTCTGCTTGGATGCCAGGGGGGTTTTCTTCTAATGCCAGTAATGGCGTCAAACTGTCCTTTCTACCAGGCTCGCGAGTCTGTCTGGTCTATCTCACTCTATTATAAAATGTCGCTTAAAGCCAAAGTCAAATGCAAAGTCAAAATATTTGTTTTGAGAAATCTCTGTTCTGGAGAAATGGAATGAAATGTATTGCTAAATCTTGGTATTCTGAGGAAAGAAAAAATGGGCAAGGTATTTTGGTCATTGGTGTCCTATACGTTACGAAATATTGTGGACTTCTTAACATTAATTAACATCGAATGTGTTATTTTTACATCATAATGGTCTGCTCTAAGCTATAGTAATGCTGTTAACTTAGTACAATGATCAGATATACTAAATTATGGGACATGGTCGGTTTGGGGCACAATAGCGTGCATGGACTTGCCAACATACATTGTTTGTCATATTTTATTGTAATCCTCTTCTAACTTTGACTTTGGTTAAACGACTGTTTTAAAAGTTAGAATAGTTGAATATAACCAAATTTGAAGTAATATACAAATTAGAATAACAAATCTATTTTCAATTCTGAAATGTGTTTTTCACTGGTTTGATAAAAAGAACAAACTGTAAGTTCCCTTTTGCAGGACAATTCATTTAATCGGCATGGCATTTTTTAATCGACATGTATTCAAGTACCTGCCAAAACTACAGTAGATTTCGATTCATCAGACCAGTTTCAATCATGCATATCATCTTGGCTTTTTCTTCTTCTTCTATTCTACCTTTAATCACGTTTTGCTACCAGCGACATCGGGTCAAATATTAGTTGCACAAACTTTCATTCCGTAGTCCGACTTCACATTGAGTCAGCCCTATGGCTCTTTCACTTATTAACTACCTCATTTCGCTGTATGAAAAAAAGCCAATGTAGGATTAAAGAGGTGAGGATAACATGGATAATTCTCATCCACATAGCAATCGATGAAAAAAAACATCTTAACATGAACGAATTAATGATTTATCAAATTATATGTAAGAAAGTTTAACTATAAGTGGTCAGTGTAGTGTCAGAAAAATGTCAAACGTGAACTTTGCAATGTGTTTATGGAAGTATAAGTATATGTTGGTTTAGAAAGACTGTCGCCCTCCTAAAGACATATATCGTAGCCTCAAGCTCTGATTAGAAACTGCCAGACAGTTCGTGACTAAATCTGAGATGAGGTCACAGTCTACTTCATACCCATGCACCAAAAGGGAAGAAAGCAAATCACGTTGGCCAAGTTGTCGACCGGAACCACAGATATTCTTTGTTTGCAAGAGAAAATGTCGACACGAGATGTTTTCCTTGTAATTATTGATTCCCACACCTGCTAAACAACCAATTTTTTTACTGGTTTTGAGGCAAAAATGACTTGAACAATAAAGTATAGCTCCCCGACGTAAACATGTTTTGATCGTTTGTTTTCGAAATGGCTGCATTAAACTGTTAAATCACAATTTACAATAGAAAAGAATTTGTGGGTGCTTTTAATGAAACAATTGCATATTATATAGTGCAGTATGCATCGTGAATTAGTTTTACTAAAGATATTTGTGCTTTCAGTTTCAAAGATAACACCATAAAACCTGAGCACAAAAGTAGAATTGGTGATTCAAAGGAAAATAATGGAACCAACAGAGGGAAAGAATGAAAAGAAAATTTGGATTCAAAGAGGAATAAAACAAACATGACAGAAGTCAAGATAAAATCGTCTGTGTCCTATAGTTGTATGTACTATAAAATAATTTTACAGTACGTAATTTTCCCCGAAATGACGTTTTTGGGCTTTTGGTTTATTGATGATAATATACGTTGACACGTAGTTTGAATGGATCGTCACATTCCCCCTCAGCCCCAGACCAAACTCCAATAATCACATTTTCAGTGTGAATCTGATATCTTTTTAATCATAGCTCGCGTAGTTGAAATCAAATAGCGGAGCTCATATCTAATTTCATTCTAGAATATAGTTTGAATTTATTCAGACCACCGAAGACTGTGACAAAATGCTCTGAGAAACGTTCCCCTTTGATCTTTGTGTCCTACTGTTTGAAGGGGAGGACTATATTTCGTATCCTTTTGATTGACTGATTATCACTGATATTTCATATAGCAATATATGGCAAGAACCCTTCACTTTTCTTGTGTTCTTGAGAATTTTCATCTTATTTCCATGAATAATCCATTTAAAACTTCTCCTGATGTATCATACGATTCACTTTAGTCCAAAATTTTTGTGAAGACAGTTGATTTTCACTGCTATTAACTCTTGTCAAAGGAAAAAGTGCTCGAAATGCTTGATTATGCGAGGAATTATTCGAATTTACAGGAGTCGAAGTGCAAAGTGGAGTTGGAACTTTTTAGGTAGAGACATGGTAGAGATAGTTCATAACGGTTACAACATTATAAATAATGTATTGATAGAAATAGGAATAGCAGTAATAGTAATGATAATACAGAAATAATATAGTAACTGTTTTTTGGAGAGAATATCAGTCAGCAACAGTGGGAAAATAAAGACAGTGGTCATGTTCTCAACGCTTATGGGGAAAAGGAATGCTCCCGTTTGAAGTGAAATTCGTGTCAGAATCTGAATTCCAAATTCTACCAATTCTGAACTCCTCCTTTCATTAAGAAAAATTATCCATACGCTAGGCTAGACCGTGAACACTTTTGTTTCGAATATACACATGATAATATTAAAACCATGATTACAATACTGCGATAATTTTAATGCACTGTCACGAGTATTCGCGGTTCTTTGCCATTCGGCATGTACTGCATATTCACTTCCAATATTCGTTTCTATTCAAATTATAAACCGATATACGTTTACTGCTCGTACTAGACAAGGTAGAAAATGCTCTGTGAGAGAAACATACATTATAGGATAACTCTCATATACCACTCATATTGAATAGTAACTGATTTCTATACTTCTCCTTGAGAAATGTATCCAATGATTGCATTACAATCGTTCTTAGTTTTCATCTGACCTATTCCAGTATATGACGACCTCAAAATATCGAATTTTCAAACCCAAAAGAACAAAATGGAAGCCGAACTTTGCGACTGTTGCATGAACGACCTTGTTCATTCTTTGGTATCAGGTTCAATGACAATGTCGTTTCTATGAAATTGAACTTGAGTAGTTTCACACACAACGATTTTTCTTCAATATTTTTAAGGATCGTTATTCTTTGTAATAAGGTCACATTATTTTGTTTTCTGTATTCAAAATGTCCTTCAATTGATAAGTACATGTAAATTGCATTTTCAATGTAGAAGAATGCAAAGTGATTTTAATGCAATATAACTTTAAATCCAAGGTATAGATAAGGCAGAGAAAAACACGTTAAAAACATATACTCGTTTTCATAAATTTGAATTTAAGTCTGTAAATTGAAAAGGATCGTTTTGCCAGAACATGCCAGGTAACCACAATATATAAAATAACGTGATGATCATCCTGTTCTTCTCATTTCCAGCGAGTCGTGAGGCGGCGTTCACCTACGCGATCACGTCAGCGGGCGTGGTCAATGCTATCAGTCGTTCCTGCAGAGAGGGACAGCTCTCAACATGCGGGTGTGGCAAGTCGCCCCGCCCACCCGACATCCCTCGGGACTGGGTGTGGGGAGGATGCGGCGACAACATCGACTACGGCTTCCGTTTCGCCAGGGAGTTCGTCGACGCCCGTGAGATGGAGACGAACCCTCAACGAGGAAGCTTCGCCTACGATCGGATGAAGATGAACTTGCATAATAATGAAGCTGGTAGAAAGGTACAGAATCCCTTCCTTTCCCCTTCGTTCCTCCCTTCCCTGCCTTCCCTAATGATCTCTTGATATAATCGTTTATTCTCATTACCATAAGATTTACTCCTCACCCTTATCTTGTAAATTATTTTTCACTTGTCACACCATTTTTACTTAAGTTGTCATCGTTTTCCTATTGGTCACCTCACCTGCAAGGACAAGTGCGATGACCAAAGATTAATTTTCCATAACTTCTTTACTTCACACCTCTTTCATCCACATTCTCCCAAAATACTATTTTCATATTCCTATAGTCTATTCCACTGATTACGTGGATTTGTGAGATAGGCAGCTCCCAATATTATTTCCATCAAATTCTTGTCCCGTGAATATTCATATAGTTACGAATGATATTTTGTTGGTCCTTAGCGGTTATTGAACCTTTCATAACATGGATTTAATGAGGTTCCTACCCCCAGACGTTATAACGACCCCGTAGTGATAGATGAATCATACTTGATATCCCTGATCATTTTATTTTCCCAAATCCAAATTCGTCAAGGATTTTACAAGACTTATTATCATTTTGTGAACGGTTAAACAGTCAGATCGTGTGATTCTACCAGTAGCAGTGGCCCCTGTGCAGTTGTTTGTTTCTGTATTTATTTGTTTTCGTTCGTTATTTAATTATTGCTGCCTTCCTTTATTTTCCATTTTGTATCCACACCCTTCTATTCCATGTTGGAGTTTGGGAAATGACGAGGTTTTCCAGACAGTTGATCAACTCTCTTCAAATGATTCATTGTAGATTCTTTGCGTTGTTTCATGACTCCATTATATTTTATCGCTATGATAACATTACCAGAGAGTGAACAACATGAACATTATGAAACATAATAGAAGTAGTACTGGTTTCAGAAGTACACATTCCCCCTTAAACAAGATGAAAGGGATGGGATTTGGAGTCAGGTCTGAACAATGGCGGATAGATATCTCTTATTAGATCGTTAATCTCGACTTATCACGCTGTGACGAGGACTGAATCCTCTTTGGTTTGTGGAAGTCCGATCAGGCGGATTGTGGCTGATAGATTGTATGAGTAAGACACTAGCAAGGTTTCTGGACGGCTATTCTTAGATACCTAAGATCCATGAGACCATCGGATGAGCATTATCGGAGGAAGGCCATTTCATAGAGCTCAGATATGATGCACTTTTAACTGGATACTCCCCACTGATCTAAGACAGAGGTTACATTGTTTAGTCGAGAGTAATATCCGAAGAATTGAACATTCTTCTTTTTCATTTTTTTTTGGACAGCATTCGCACCAGCTTATGTGATATGGTCTGTTAAAGATCCCGTTTTGTATTTTCATCTCTTATTTTACTGGCTCATCGTAGCATACTGCTATCATGGCTACATTTTCTTATCGTTACCACGGCTCTTTTAGGGGGACAAAGCTTTCATAGTCTCGTTTGACGCTAGGAAATAAATTAGAATTTTGTCACAATTATCACTGAACAATATAGATGCGAAAATATTTTCCTTTTTTGTGAAGAGATAGAACAATTAAAATAAGTAAAGAAATGTATCTATGATGTACAATGTAGGGTGATTTCAGAGAATAAATGATTGTCGCGGTGGAAAACTTTTTACGTTAGGAACGTTAAGATATATCTCGAAATATATATCAATGTGAAAAGATCTGATTTCACCCCAGGCCGGCAATGAAGCATTATTTCGTCTTTTCCATCAGTCACTCTGAGCCGACTCGACGATGGAAACAATTTGAAAGTACGGCTCGACTTTCCCTACTTTTTTTTTTACTCGAATAAAATAACCGACCGGAATGCGGAGAGGGAAAAAATGGTTCCTTTTTTAGGCGTGCAGAATTCCCAGTCGTCGTTTAGTGCTGATGATATACAGCCGACCTACACTCAAACCAAATATGCAAACTGCCTGCAGCCACAGTAGCACTCCAACCAAATATTATATAAATATTGGCCCATACTCTACACCCGGTGGAACCATGGGTTTAAACCAGCTTCCCCCTTCTCTCAACCATGGAGACCAAGTGAGGAAAAAATATACCTATCGAAATCATATTTCTCACTTTTTACTTTTTCTTCTGACTAGCGGAGGGTTCTCTTTCTCGAACTCCCTTTTAGCCCGGGGTTACATTTAAAACATGTCATTTGTTATTTGTAGGTTAAGAAAGATTTTCCGCGTTTCGTTTTATATCACCTCATTATTTGAGGCAACATTCATCACGATGGAATCGATTGAGGAGCATAGCCTGGAAGAATGAAAAGTGGCGCCCCAGGCCTTTGTGGTCCAGAGCAACAAGTCCAGGCGGGAGGGAGAAAATAAAATGTTCGATTATAGCCTAGGCATAGCATCGTCAGGGAAACGGGGTTGTTTATTTGATTTCTTAGGGTGCACTGCCCCGTCAACGAGATGTTTCCATTCAAAACAAAATTGTCAGCATGAATGAGGTACAAATTTTCTATCACGGAAATGGGGAATATACCGACATGCGTTTATTTTATAATGTCCTTCATTATTTTGAAATCGACTGTCAGAACACTTTCAAACCAAGCACACTACAGATGGAGAACAGTTGGAAAAAATACACATTTAAAAGCTGTCCCCCCCAAAAAAAAAATGTATATTTACTTATTTTTGTAAATGAACTAGAAGTATGCCTATGTCATCTTATAGAATATAAATAGCCATTTTTGAAACCCACTTTAACGCTCTTGTGGAAGTATAACATGACATAGTCCATGCTTATACTCTCATACAATCTGACAAGTTATGTAATGCTTTCACAAAAAGTTCATTAAAAGATTACACATTATCGTCAACATAGAAGCCATGTCATGTTAATATAATGAGCATTGGTTCAGGAGCAGAAAGCTTGGCTTAGCTTCTCCCTCTTTAAAATCCTCACCTGAACGACACTCAAGCATGCAAGTACTCAAGTAATCACTTGATGCAACGTGAGGAAGACTGGTAGCAGCGTGATAGGTGAGAACAAGATGTATTCGTTCTGGTTCAGTGGGAGGTGTATATCAACCGCCAGCTTACCGCCAGCCTCTCTAGAATTTCCTCTTGAAATCCTATCTCCAATCGGACATCGGAGTAAGGTTTCCCACACGACTGCGTTAACACCAACAAGATATGAATGATTCGAAGACATAACTTAAGTTTATCTTTTTGAAAGGACATCGGAGTAAGCATAGACCTAGGTCTATGGAGTAAGGTATCCCGCACGACTGCGTTAACACCAATAATATATGAATGATTCGAAGACACAACTTAACTTTATCATCCCTACCATGTTCATCTTTTTGAAAGGACATCGGAGTAAGGTTTCTCACACGACTGCGTTAACACCGACAAGATATGAATGATTCGAAGACACAACTTAACTTTACCAATAACGTTCATCCTTTTAAAAGGACATAGACTGCATAACTTTGTAGTAGACATTCCTTTAAACTGATTATGCAATATGCATTATTATAATTCCTACATGAGTTATATAATGTTATTATTTATCTAACTTAAGGGACGATAGGAGCATTTTTTTTTAAAATAAAGTAGTATATTTTCGAGTAAGATTGCTGTATTTCACCTAGCTGTACATTCCAATGCTTATGTTATGGTTAAATGAATTTAATATTAGTGACGTTTGTTGTCGTCGAGTTATATCATAAATGTAAAAGATAATCATACTTTTTAATCAATAATATTTCACAAGCTTGCCGAAAAGTGACCTACATAAAATATGGTAGCGATTGGCTGCGAATATTTCCATGGACATGATGGATACCCGGATTCCGTGTTGCGTTGGTAGAGATGTGAACAGAGAACCCAAGTGTACGCAAGCGATCCAGGAGGGTTAAAACCATTCTTAACCCTATCCATCGCGACCCTCCACCATTACCATCAACTGTCACAAACTGTATCGTGTGGATTTTACCAAGAACTTCCACAAGAATTCGCATCCATGTTGAGATTAGTGGATGCATGTAGTATGACGGCTGGTCGTATTGGTTGCCTCGATTGGTCCTTCTGACGTATAGAGTATATGAATTGGCGCCATATGACAGGTTTTCTCATGAAAATTGACGATTTCAGAATAAAAGTTCGGGTCTTGGGCATGGCAAAGTATTTTTTTGCTGTGGTTACAAGCAATGAAATGACCAGTATGTGGGGATAATCTTCAGAGAAAGCACCTCATCGTATTTCTTGTAATAATGAGTGTGTTTGAGTAGAAGCAGGCTGAGGGTGACGAAACGAAATGGCAACACTTGTTGTGACGACGAACTTTTATCACTGAAAAATCCTCTTGATTACGGATGGATACAATCTTAGAAAATCGTATGCCATACTATGAGTGCATGCCAAGTATATAAAGGTGTATAAAATCATGCCAATTTTGTTTCCCATTGCGCCATCACAGACAAAAATAATGTAACGTAAGAAATGTCCATTGTGATTAAAACTCGCAACTGTACAAAAGTATTTCGATGTAGAGATGACTACTCATGGAACGGAAGTATAAGAAGAAGAGGAAATAAGTTGAAGAAAAAGTTTCCCTTCACCTGGAACAAGGGGTGTATGAAGATAGATAGAGGTTGAAGTTAGGTTAAACCCCGGTAATCTGTTTACGTCAGTCTGTCACTGCAACGCGGTTAAACTCAGTGACGCGCCGACGACAAAGAAAGATACACTCTCTGCTAGCGAAGTGGAGGGGAGGGGAGGGGAGGATGGTGACAACAGAAATCGTAGAAGGAGGAGAACATGGAATGGAGAATGGAAAAGAGTCCCAAATGATGATGACGACGACGACGATAATATAATTAGTATGATAGGAATGGTAACCTGTATTGGACAGTAACAAAGAAGTAACGCGGGCACCGTCAGATAGAAAGAAAATAATCATTATCTCACTGTCATCAAAATAATCAAGCAGCACATATTTCATAATGATAGATACCTTTAGAAAGTGAATACCTCGTTTTAGCTTTTTATAATCAAACATGATCTTTCATTAAAAAATACATTTTTCTATCTATCATATTCTACTTTCGCCCTTTCATATTCTGATCTTGCTAATAATAATATTGCTGATTCCTTTGATGAAACGGTCAAAATAGATTATGGCTATAATTTGCATGCTTAAAAGAAAAAGTGACAGGTAGCTGATTAAGCCACTACATGACAAATGCTCCAATATACATGTATATTGTTTAAACGTTTTATATAAATTTGAAATGAATTTTCTTGTAAACCAATAGCTGATATGGTATTTTGATCGAGAAATGGTGGACATCAAACCGTGTCATAGCCCCGTCAGTACCTGCCGACAATGCTTCGTTAATTACTCGGTCACAAATGGAAACCAAAGCCATAAATCAACCTTTTTTCAACCTATAGTTCAAAAGTTCAAATTCAAATGAAGCTACCCATCACAATGCGTGGTTCAAACGGGAAATTATCAAAATCGTTCATCAACATTGATACATCATTGTCACAATGAAAACTATATGAGCCTTTCCTTCTCCATGAATAATTTCCCATTTCGTTCTAGTTCATACTTATTTTACAGACATCTGAAGCATTATTAAAATATAACGTTAATCGTAGTTTTTCTCCCATATGACCTTATGCATTTGAACTTCCAAAAGACGCGCACGCTTTCAAAACAAAACAAAAACAACAGCGGTGACGATGACGACGACAGTAATTTTAAAAAACCATAAGAAATTTTAAAACTAAAGTTCGTCTAGATATTAGACTAGACAACACCTGTCTGTAACAATGGTGACAAATTTGACTGTAGTATTTTTGACAGAATCTTAGGGCAATCAATTAGAATGCAATTACCCTACCCCGCAGGAGTATACTACGCTTCTGTCTCACGGTGTACCAAAATGAATTAAGCGGTAAGAAAGAAGACGAAAATATTAGGTGTAAGAAAAAATGCGAGAGAAACGAAGGAAAATAAAGTTGACATCTCAAATTCTGGGTCCGTAGGCATAAGGTGAATTTGCACTTCAGAAGGTGTTAATCCTTTTGTTCCTAATCAAAACACCCTTTGGTGCCCTTCTTTCAATCCATTTTTAACCGTATCCGGCGTTGTTCCTTTCGCCATCAGAATACCTCAAAGTGAATAGAAACCCTTCTTTTAAATTTGGTATTCCTTTGACAATTTTCTCTTTTATTTCGTCAACGCATACCTCGTGAATTGTTGCAGTCAATTTAGAGCGGACAAAAGACACGAATTGGCTGCTTTGAACATCTAGCAATGGCAGGTGAACTTGACCATTCTTAGTTCAATTGCACGGTTATTGCTCTTCTGTTGTGGTCTTCACTCGTTTGGCTGGCGTCCGATCTCTTTCACGGAATTGCGCAAGTCGGCCCAGAGGCAGTGACCACAAAGAACGATGTGAACAAAGTTTGCTTACAGAACATTTGGTCACAAATGAATCATGAAATGTGAAATTATGTATGGCAGAAAAGAGAGTACGATTTGGTTTGGCAATATAAACGCTACGTATCGTTACCTGTTTGCAAATAAATACATAAACATTGTCTGCTTTCCACCAGGGGTCCGGTACAACTTCGAGAAAAAAAAGGGGGAGAAGGCCCTTCTCAAACTTTTCAGTGGCTGTATTTGTTATTGCACCCAAGGCTTTGAATAGCATTCGCGCAATAGCAACAGCAGTAGGTGACCGCTCACGATTTTGTTTTAGGTTTCCCACCTTTTTTCTCGAGGAGTAATTGCAGCCGGTGGAACACCCGATATCCTAAAGCAGGTCCACCTTGGATTTCGAGCGTTGCAGGACGTGTGGCTGCCCGAAGACGGTGGGTGAGACCCGCAGGGAACGCTCCGTACTGTTTACAATATAAATATCAGTTGAACCCCCTCTCTCTTGAAGGCTGATGAAAACTTCTCGACAGATTAATTAGCTCAGTTGAGTAAATCGCAACAATGGAAGAAAGCGAGAGAGCTCACGGCACTTTCTCAAGCTTTCACTGGGTTTCTTATCGAATGTTGGTTTAATGGGACTGGGGTTAAGAGCCTCTACTTACAATTTGTAAGACCTGGAGAAGATTTGTGCTGACAACATGAATGTAGACCAATTTCAGCATTAGAGAATAGGTCGGAAATTGGTTATAAAACATTCCTATGTACCAAATACACTGGCAGAAAAGTGAGTTGAACTCCCGCTTGCAGTTCCCAAGTGCACTATATCTGAGATACCTCAAACATGAAGCAAAGTTCCTCGTCCCTATTTCGTCGAGGAACGAACTCTTTCTCGACGATGGTTCCATAAATTTACGTATCCCAAAGTGATCAGAGATTCTTGTTTCTTTGCTTGATATCTTTCTATTTTACTATCATATTCTAAGAGTCAGTAGTTTCCAGTCAGATCCGGTGCACTCACGTCAATGACTGATAAATCTAAATTCATATTTATGTCTTAAGCTTTTTTGTTCTCCTCTTTAAAGCGGGACTGCACTACTTGTAGCTACTTGCGCCCTATTCAGCCAACAATGCCTAGGCGGTACCCGCTGATCCTTATGGTCCCCTTTTTCTTATGTTGATAGAGAGCTATTTTGATGTGATAACCACCTGCCGATGACCACGCAGTGAGGTCTAATCTCTCCTGGCCAAACTAGTGCAGATAGGCTTTAAATAATGAAACACAGTACTAATATTACTACCATTTTTTTTCAAATGCTACATCACTGAGTGACAACGATTATTTCCCCCCAACTACAGCTCACATTGATTACATTCGCTTAAAACTTCTCTGTTCTTTAAGGTTGTCTTTTTATCTCCTTCTTTTTATGCATATAGGCGGTTTACGATAACGCGGGAACCGAATGCAAGTGCCACGGTGTGTCCGGATCGTGCAGTCTGAAGACATGCTGGTTACAGCTGAGTCCTTTCAACCGTGTCGGCACCATTCTCAAGGACAAGTACGACGGCGCCACCAACGTCCGCGTCAACAAGAAAGGCAGGCTGGTGAACAGCGATGCCCGTTTCAACAAGCCAACCCGTGATGACCTGGTGTACCTTCAGCCGTCACCAGACTACTGTCTTCCTGACATACAGACTGGTTCATTGGGCACGACGGGTCGCGAGTGTAACAAGACATCCATGGGAACCGATGGATGCACGTTGATGTGCTGTGGAAGAGGCTACAACTCCTTCACGAAGGAGGTCGTCGAAAGATGCAAATGCAAATTCAAGTGGTGCTGCTACGTCAAGTGTCGGAAGTGCAGAACATTGGTTGATGTACATGTTTGTAAATAGAACAGAACATTTTGCACAAAACTAGTACTTTTGTGGACGTATTTATAATGTGACAATGCACCAGTTAGAGGTCATCCTACAGTTTCATCCTACAGATTCTGCCATGCAGCGTCATAAGCCAGAGTGGAACTGCAACATAGATGACGCTCAATCTTCTTCCTTGTCCAGATATCCTTAAGCTTCAAGAGTGTCTTCGGGAGTGTTTTCCTGAATACGTCTATGTCTACATCTACGGTAGACGTCTTTAGATGGAGACTCCTGTCATTTCAAAAGCAAGAGAAATGGGTTATCATGTACTTTGTCGTCGGGAAATGAAAATCTATTCTAGAGCCAGAATGTGTGCAAAGTGTGCCATTTGATTGAGTTGGTGGCCGTTATGGTTTTGCATTGTTATGTGTACAGTCTTGTACAGGTTGTAACATGGTACATTTATAAGTTATTTGATCTCACTTTGCCGATGTTTCAAGGAAACAAAGCTGCAAAATGTTGGAGATGGTCTTAGTCTGATTTACAGAAAACCGTAGGTATAGTAAAGTGATCGGATGCCGTATGAATTACGAAAATTGTATTTGGATAATTCATAATGTTCATAATTTATCGGCAACATAATGTTACACCAACTATTGTAAATCGTATCAGGGTGAATCATGAATATTTTACGTGATGAAGATGAAAAATCACGAGGTATTACACGAGGCTGTAACCTTGTTCGCGGTAGGCCTTCGCATGACCTTAACGGGAAAGAAGTTAGAACACTATAGGAAGTCACCTACTTGTTTCAAAGACAGACTGTTACGAACAAGTTAGCCTCTGTCAGTCAAGGTGTACCATGTCCCGTTACAAACGTGCTGTAATCATGGAACCAATGGTCAAGATATTGGTAGTTGTTCTTGGTGACCATTTGAAAATTAGTTGGATATTACACCAATGCACAAAGGGAACGTGAACCTCATACACACATATAGCATTCGATGACGTTGACTGCCGAGCGGATGTTTCCTTTGAAATAATGTTGAATGATCATCAAAACGAACTGAAATGGCGCCCTGTACAGACTATGCGATGAAATGACGGACGAGAATTCGAGATGCGCCTGATGAAAATTTAAAAATGTATTTAATATTAATTATAATCATAATATGGACTTGTGGCTACCAGAAGCGTGATGAAATTAATTGAACCTTATGCACAGTTTTTGTGACAACCTGACCGGAAGATATGTTTTGGGGGACTAACACGAGAGACAATAACATCACGTTTGGTAGTAGGTAAATATATATCTCGGGATAGCGACATACAATATTGAGGGTGTGTTATCCGGTAATAATATTGGAATTCCACAAACAATTATTGGAAATGTAGTTTTTGTAGCTATAAGACAGGGTCCACATCCAAATTGGAACTAATTATAAGACATATAACAGTTTGAGAAATTGCAGTATACCTTAAAATCACTAGTTACATTATCCATAAGAGATACTTGCAATGGAAAAGTTGTCTAGAACATCGTTCTTGACTTGTAAAGCTCTTTAAAAAAATAATACACTTTGTAAAGGAATACCTTTATGGTTACTAAAGAGTAACACATAAACCCACAGTACGGAAAACTTCCTTTGATCACAGTACTATGATGAAATCACCATTTCCACCGAGGATGTACAAAAATCACCTACGTAAATTATTGGAAACTCAGTCTCGAAAATAAGAATGGTAAAACTTAGTACGTCTCATAATTGCAGCAGTGATTATAATAGCAATGCTCTGTTTCGTGTAAGCTGTATAACTAGTGAAATGTTCAGTGAAATTTCACGATAATTATGTCACGATGTTTAAAATCCTACGCACATTCTCACGTGTGCAGGAATTCTTTGAAGATGAAGTGTAAATCAGTGTATCACTTTGATGATACAGCTAGCAATTTATTGTTCCTTTTAGCCGCTTCATAACTCATGTATTAGGATAGGAAGAGAACAATACGCACAACTGTGATCAAATGTTACTTGTGTTTCTTACCATAATTTATACCTATGGTTCGGGAATACCTGCTTTTTTCTTTTCTTAAAATGTTACATTAGGTGATAATTTTTGCTTTTTACATGATGGTGTTAGGGTTTATAAATGATTTAGGACTAAAGGTATCAATAAAAACATATTTATAGCCTCTGTAATAAAACATAGACAACGTTATACCTTTATCTTTAGTATAGTTAGCTTTACAAGATGTAGACTATTATAGCTACAAGCTACAACCATAAAGCTGCTTTATTAGATGTTATCAGTTATGTTTAGCAAACCATTTTGGGGGTTTAAAATCTGTTATAAAGGTATATGTTTTCATGTCTCTAAATCTGACATTATTGTATATTATTTTTCTCGAATGTTTGTGTATACCGAAATGATGGAACTTTTGTAAATAACTGAAAATATGTATTTTTAGCTAAATAAAATATTCATGTATTGACTTGGCGGATGAACAGAACAGAAGGGAATTTAATTTCTCGAATTTATTGTAATGATAACAAACGAAGTTATGTTGTTCTCTTCTCTTTGAATAAAGTAGTTCGATTCTTTACCATGAAAATGCTCCTACACTATTGTTGATTTAAATTCATTAACGGTAATTTTGAAGAATGAAAAGAGGTTTACATAAATTATTTGTCGTTTTGGCACACTATTCTGTTGAAGCTTTTTACCAATGTGAAGTCTTTTCAAAATTTTGTACCTAGATTTGTAGGAATGCTTGCTAAAGTATTACATGGGAATGCACTAGGCGAATGAGAAACAAAAAAACAGAACCCTCATGAATAAATTACCATCTCCATCTGTTATTCACTAGTATTTTCATCATTCAAGATTATGATGGTTTCCTAGAGATAACGTTGGGAAATTAGCTGCTACGTCAGAAAACAGGGTTTGTTCATCCCTATTCGTCTTTGCCATTCGTTTTCACACACACACACTCCCTCTCTCTCTCTCTCTCTCTCTCTCTCTCTCCATCTCCCTCCATTATACTCTAACTCCCTCCATCCCTCCATTGCTTGTTTTCAGCCACTTACATTATAATATTTTCTTTCATTTAACTTTGATGGCGTTTTTCTTCTTCTCCATGTCTGCCAAGTACTCTTATTTCATTTTATTATATGTGGGGGTCTTCCCACTGTATAAAGTACTTTTTGATAGATATTCTCTCTCATCATGCTCACATTCTTCCGAAACTGTAGAGAGAGATGCATTAATAATCTTGCTTCTAATATATGACACAAATTTTAATTACTGATTAAAAAAAAAAACACGTTGAAATGCATGAAATAACTCAATAAAATGAGAAATGAAATAATATAATGCTTGATATCATTCGAGGCTCCTACTTTTCTTGAAAGAAGGATACTGTTTATCCAATAATACAGTATCGATATGGTTGTATTTTGTAGTATTCATTCAGTGTACCACCGATATGATGTTATATATTTTCGAGAGATCGCATTAAAACTGAGCGTGAAACTAATCAATATTGTGTTGAAATTACCTATTGTCTGAGTGTATATGTCTATGCTGTTTTCTTGAAATATTGTGATGAGTGATCCTTTACATTAATAAATAGTTTTACAACATATTCATTTTAATATGCTTTAATAGTGAAATCACTTGATAATGATGATAATAACAATGTCTTCTATAACGCCCGGTATCCGCCTGATATGCCTCTCATGGCCCTTGCTCCAAAAGTATTATTCAGTAATTACACTCTGTAGGTGCACTGCTCGTGGTATATACACAACAATATTAATAGTTCCAGATGAAATTCCCAGTTGGTCTTTTAGTTATGAAATAAATATCATTAGTTTATTCTTAACTTTGCAAAATGAAACAAACTCATCTATATGCATAATCAATCAATAAATCAGCCCCAAATTGTCGTCATTGTATTATACTCCAAACAACAGATTTGCAATAATTATTATTCCAATTAACTGTATCAGGAAAATTACCCCCTGGACAATCACCCCCAGAAAATTACCCCCCCCCCCTCGGAAAACTACCCCCAAGGACAATAACTCCTCCCGGACAATTACCCTCTGTAGGTCAATTACCCCCGAGGACAATAATTACCCCTCTCCCCCCCCCCCCCCCCCCCACACACACACACCGGAAAACTACCGTCTAACCCTGATAATAAATTGTTTTTAATTTTTCGGGGGGTTATTTTCCTCAAGGGGTAGTTGTTCTTTGGGGTAATTTTCCGTGGAAGGGGGTAATTGTAGAGTTGGTAATTTGCTGGGGGTGATTGTCCAGGGAGTAATTGTCCTAGAATCCAATAAACAATTCGGTCTTACGACGAAGCTTTAACAAGTTTTCATTATACGGCATACAGAGAATCTGATATGATATGGGATCCTAAAACCTTCTTCTTCTTCTTCTTCTTCTTCTTCTGCTGTCTAAGTTTTCTACTTTTGTAATCATGGAACGGGATAATAGAATACAAAACTTCCCGCTTTACCCTACACACACACACACACACATTAATATGTATTTTTTTTTACAACTTTGCTGTGAATGTGGTAACGGAATAATATTTCATCTTGAAATCTGCAATTATGCCAATTAGCAAAGTTGTTAACTAGCCAGTAAGGGACCTGAAACTGCTTCAGCAAAAATGCTGAATAGCATAATCAACGTTCTTTAGATACTATATTCAAAATTTCAAAATATCACGTAGATTTAGTCACTGATAACGATGAAGTAATTACTCCCCCCCCCCCCCCCCCCCCCATTTTCAAAGATTCTTACAACCATGATAGAGTCTACAACTATCTAACTCGACACTTTGATGGCGCCCTTTCATTTCACATGACACCAAAGTTGAGCATTCTAGAAGTCAGGGGTCTGATCATAAACCTTTGTCGCTAACCTCTGTATGTCTTTCTCTCTCTCTTTCGGTGATCATTACTTTGTTCCCCTTTCCTCAGTACATAAATTTTTATTTCTAGGCCCTATGTAAAATGAAATGAAAGACATAAATCTTAGCCTTCTTAAAAAGACATAAAAAGTTAGACAATTTTGTTGATTGTTTTTAACCTAATTTTTATTTTATTTTAAATAAAGCACACATAGACCTATTTAGGGGGGGGGGTGAGACTGGACCGTGCGATGGGATTAATTTTCTATGATTAGCACTGATTTCATTATTATAGTGAACTGAATGCATTGTCATAGCATCGTTTGGTGTGTTATTTTGGGGGGGGGGGGGGGTAGTGAGCACTATTTTTTTTTTTTTTTTTTTTTTGGGGGGGGGGGGGGCCTCGAAAATTAGAAAAATCGGGGTAAAATGCAATAAATTATTGAAAATTTATTACATTTTCTGTTTTTTTTATTATGGAAACTGCCCCCTACCCTAGCCCCCGCTGCGTACAGTCATGGTTCAGTGACAAAGCAATGGTCTCGTAACTGTGAGGCCCCAGGATCAAAACCGTGTCGATGTGCTATATATTAGTGCCCTTTTGTGGGGCATTAATCCACATTACTGTCATTTATGACTTAAGGGCGTAGGTCCCCTAATTGATCAGCATAAAAGCATACACATGCTTTAGCAGTCACGCAAAACACACATTGTCAAATTATAATTCAATAAAATATGAGAATGTATACTATTATCTAGATCTATTATTTTTTAATTATTTTAAAAATAATTCCATAAATTGGGGTAAAACAAAAATATTCCAACTTTATGAGCGACAGTGTATTAGTTCTTCTTTATAATAACATATGATTCAAGGTCACATGGGTTATAACTTTTAAATTAGAAGCTACCAAAGTTGGGTACACTTTTTAAAACGCACTGTATATCGCGAGCGTGACAAACTCTACCAGATCAGATAATTTCAAAGAAATTCTAGGGGGGGGGGGATAATCATTTTTAAAAGACTGATATTAGCGTGTTTTTAAAATTACCGAATACAGTTTGATAACGAAAATATTTCTTATAAACATCCAATATATTTTGATAGCACATATATTATTATTTTTAAACATTGCATAATCATTACACTTATTTTTTTAAGCGCATTTATTTATTTATAAACATAGATTATTTTAATAAGGCACATATTTTCATCAATATCGAATACAATTTGATAACGCATATATTTTTTATATACATCGAATATATTTTGATTGCACATGTATATTTCTTTGTAAACATATATATGTTAGTTTTTTCCCTTTTGGCTTTCCATACCTATGGCTTGCCATACACAATAATAACTTTTCAACGTGGACGAATAAAGAGGAGTTCTCTTGCCGTGGCCGTGACAAGTTAGGTGATAATATTTCAGTTCCTTCATTTTGTGTGGTGTCTCTCTGAATGAATTGTTACATTATCTACGAATTCTCGTTGCTGTCAGTATAACAAATAATTTATTTAGCATATGGGAACAGTATTGTCACGATATTGTTTTGTGTTTTATTCTGCAGGAGCGCTCATATTATTATGATGTTGCATAGGTACGGCCATCTGGCTCGCTTCCACGCCTGTTGGGCAGGGTTGAAAGCGGCTGGTTGCCGCTCGAGACAATCGGTTTGTTTCCACAGGTTATTGTTAACGTGTCATCGGGATGGAACAAGTGCAACATCCACCAAATCCTTTAGTACTAACCAACGGCACAGATACAAGGTGGGTAAAAATGTTGAAAAGATACTTACAGAAAATGTGTCAATACTATTACTAGTCAATAATATTGAGTCATAATCATTTCCTTTTAAATATCATGGACCACAATTCATTTGTCATGTTTTGCCATTTAGCATGATTGATTGAATTACCACCACCAACAACAACAACATTAATATCAATAAAAATATGTATACAAAAATTTGTTTATGATATACAGATTACAAGTTCTATGAAAATGACCTCCGGAAAATTACCCCCCTGAAAATTGTGCTTTTTTAAAACCAACTTATTAACAGGGTGCAATGGACTTCCCCTTTAATAAACAGGGGTAAATTTTTGGAGGTGTATTTGTCCTTGGGAGGCATATTTTTCCTATAAAGGGGGTAATTGCCCTAGGGGGTAATATTCAAGGGGGGGGGGGGTAATTGTCCTTGAATGCAAATTACAATATGTAATGAAATACCTAAGAATTGGAGACGTTATATTGGCAGGTATACATTAACTGGTATGATTCCTTTCACAGTGAGGTAACTTTCTGGTAATTTTTTTTCATGATCGCAGGAAAGCAACAACATCATCTTGAATGGTAGCCCTGGAGCAGGTAAGACCACTGTGGGGAAGATTGTTGCTAGAAAGCTTGGTGTGGATGTCTTAGATGTTGACAATGACATACTAGAATCTGTCTGGGGTATGCCAGTCAGTGATAAGGTATGTATAGCCCCCAAATAACTCTCCTTTTTTTGGGGGGGGGGGAGCTAGGGTTTTTTTTTTTTTCATGAAGTTCATAATATCCCTCCATTACATAATTAAAATTTTAAAAAGTACAATGAGGAATTGCATGGGGTAAGACTAAGACCCTTAATTTTCTTCCAATATAAGTTGGGGAAATTGACTCCCCTCTCCCTCTCTCTTCCCCCTTTCTCTCTTTCTCTCTCTCTCTCTCTCTCTCTCTATCTAAATGTTTTATTTCAAAAGAGATTTATCATCTATTGATTTGTTTTTTTCAGGATCCCATTTTGAAACTAGAACAATTACATCATGTGTAATTGTTATTACGTTTTTAATAATGCCTTTCTCTTCTTTCTTTATTTCCTCTCTCTCTCTCTCTCTCTCTCTCTCTCTCCCTCTCCTCTCTCTCTCTCCTCTCTCTCTCTCTCTCACTCTCTTACACTCCCTCCTCATCTCTTGCTCTGTTCTTGTTTCTCTCCCTTGCCCTCACTTTCTCTCTCATTTATCCCTCACCCTTCTTTCTTTACCCTTCCTGCTGACACCCCATGTAGCTCTCTGAAGTTGGAGGAGATAATTTTGTTGAAGCAGAGGGGCAAGCGCTTCTCACCTTTACCCCTCCATCAGATACAGTGGTGACACTCACCGGCTCCAATGCCATGCATGATGAAGCCATGGCTCACATCTCTAATCATGGCCCAGTCTTATTCCTGGACGTCAAGAACGAGGACATCCTCCAGAGGCTGGAGGCAATGAAGGTGAATCGGATCGTAGGGCAAGAGGCAGGTGTGTCGATGACAGAGATCCTAGCATACAGGCAGCACTTCTACGAGAGATCCTACAACGCACGCGTTATCTGCGAGGCTAACGAAACCCAAGAGAGCATCGCTGGAAAGATTGTTGAAGTTGTGGCTCGATTAAAGAACCACAGTCCATATGTTTCAACGAGGAGTAGTGGCAAGAGCTCGGGGAAGGACTTTCTAAGTGCAGTCCTACAGGGTTTGGCGGAGGATGGTGGCCTCTTCGTTCCTTCGGGACCACTCCCACAGATGACCTTGCAGCAGTGGGAGCGTCTCGTCCCCTGCACCTACCAACAAAGAGCTCAGCGCATCCTCGAGCAATGGATTCACCCTGCTGACCTTCATCCCCGAGTACTAAATGGAATGATCCAGAAGGCGTACACTACTGATAGCTTTCAGTCCGAGGATGTGGTACCGGTCACTCATCTAGAGGGAAATCAACATCTGCTGGAAATCTTCCATGGACCAACTGCATCCTTTAAGGACGCTCCTCTGCAACTCATGCCTCATTTCTTCAGAGAAGCAGTGAGCCAGAAAGGAGATGCAAAGTAAGTAAGATAGACTAGGTCTTAACAAGAGGTAAATGCTGAGAAAGAGGCTTATAGTATTACAAAATAAAGAAATAACATCTTGTGGATATGGGGGAGGGATGGGGGTTTGATTTTGTCATCTTGGTCAGGCTTCATCAAGATGTACATATACCGGTAAAGTTTTATAAATCACAATTACCCCCTATAATAATGTACCAGTGTGTTCTTTATTATGACAAATGTTACCACCAAAGCGGAGAATTAAATATATGCAATACATCCTTTTTTATTAACATCATTCTTATCATATTCCATGTGTTTAGGTATCTTATATTAGTAGCTACATCAGGCGATACAGGCAGTGCTGTTTTAGATGGATTTGGAGCAACAAGTGGTAATTATGAAACAGATGAAACATTCTTACGAAATAGAAAGAATTTGTAACACTAAAGAATATAAATTACATGTGTATCTTCCAAATCATGATACAGTGATCCAACTCTAATAAATTAGGACTTACACCTACATGCATACTGTTTACAATACTTACTACCATCCCACTTCTACTGCAATCATTTTACCATTGTTGCTCAATATTTGTGGTACAGTATATCATTTATTCAATTTAACAAATACACAACGCAACTACCTGCAATTTCTTATATATTTGCAGGTAACTGCCAGCTCAGTTGCTCATGCTGTCACCTTTAAAGCTTTATTGTTTATCACACTTTCTTCCCTTTGTTTCCCGGCATAGTGACCAGTGGTGATGATGATGTGTCTGTGATGGTGTTTTATCCGGAGGAGGGTGTTAGTCCAGTCCAGAAAGCTCTGATGACTGCTGTGGATAGTCCCAATGTCAGAGTCATAGGTAATTATATAGCTAGAAGAGATGAATAACTGTACAATATAGAGCTAGATATGCAAGCATAGACTGAAAGTCCTTGTTTCACAAAACTGGGAAATTATATGAGCTGTGAAGCTTAAATTTCTCATTGTAGGCTCCAGTCTTTGAGAGCTTTGACATTTCAGACCATGTAGAGGATAAATTTCCAAGGCCAATCATTTAAAAAAAAAAAGTTCACTCACAACTACATGCAGTATTATTAATGTACATAGTAGGACTTAAGTGTATTTTAGTTGGAATTACAGCATAGTGATATTTTCAGATATATGGAAGCTTTATGAATGAGTAGAGCTCTATAAAGATTTACTTAAATTTACTTTCAGTTGTATGAATTTATTGATTTTGTCCATACTTTGGTTCCAATTATGATACAAAGTACACCCAACTGATGATAATAGAAGTGTCTTTAGGTGATGTCCAAAGATATTTGCTCTCCAATTTCCTCTAGTTTACAAAGGTTGGAAAATATGTGTTTCATTGTTTGTGCCTCCAAAACATTCCACTATATCCAGGTGTTGAAAGTGATTTTGACTTCTGCCAGTCGTCCATCAAGCAGATCTTTTCGTCCGATACCTGCACGCTCCGACACTCGCTCCTGAACGATCACAACGTCAAGCTCAGCGCAGCAAACTCCATCAACTGGGGACGCCTCTTACCTCAGATTGTGTACCATGCGTCCTCGTACTTAGACCTGGCCCGGCAGGGCGTGATCAGTGTGGGTGACCCTGTGGACTTGTTTGTACCAACTGGAAACTTTGGCAACATCTTGGGAGCCGTCTATGCTAAGGTAGTGCTGCTGGAATTTACCTAGTGCGTGCTGAGAAAGTGCTAGACTTATATTTGCACATGATATAAGGAATGATATATGTATGATTCTAGGAAAACTAACCCCTTGACTATCGAACCCTAACTACTGGACAACTACTCTCCAGAAAGTCACCCCTCTGGACAATTAGCCCCAGAGGCCCAGAAAACTATTCTAGAACAGCTTCCCCATAATAATTATTTTTCAGAAGTTAATTACAATTTTGGGTAGGCATTTATCAGAAGGGTTGTGGTGTATTTAGTGTTATAGCCTGTTTTGTGAAAGTTTGTATAATTTGCAGGTTTCATGAATCACTGTCAACTTCAGAGAGGCAGGGAGATGAGCAATATGATATATGAAAGGGAAAGAAGTAGAAGAGACAGAGATTGGGGAAGAAATATATTGATGTTCTGATTGATTTTTAAAAGTTGTTATGTCTTTCTTTTTTTAATCAGTTGATGGGAATTCCACTGCGAAGACTAATTTGTGCTTCCAACGTCAACAATGTCTTAACAGACTTCCTCCAGACTGGGGTGTATGATCTACGTAAGAGACCTCTGAGGGTCACCATGTCTCCTGCTATCGATATCCTCCAATCTTCAAACCTAGAAAGGTACCAGCAGTTCCCTCTTATTTATTGTATGTATCTTATTTATTGCATATATCTATATCCTTTGTATATCTATATATATATAAGGTATAGATACATTTATGGCATATACTTATCCCCTTTGTATCTACATGTATCTTATTTATTTCATGACTATATCCTTTGTATATATATATATATATATATATATATATATATATAGATACTGGTATATCAATGGTATAGATATATTTATTGCATATAGTTATACCCTTTGTATCTATACCTTTTGTATATATATTTGAAAATGTACAGGCATTATTTTTTTTCCTCAATGGTTTGCTATTATTCACGTGCTGTGTGATTGTGGAATGTTTGCAATGAACATACTGTCAAAATATGAGCTGAGCAAATAATACCCCAGTACTCTGTTTGTTTTGATTATGGATTATTCTCGTTGCCCATATCCAGTGAATAATGGTAAATATTTAAAGATGGCTGCTTGTTTTTTTGTGTATAATGCTTTATATAGTTGTATGGATTACCTCAGCCACATTGTTGCATGGAAAATTAATTCATGTCTGTGTGAGAAGAAAAGAAATTCAAATGGAATCTGTGCTTATGCATTAAGTATTTTTATAAAACATCACGTCTTCAAAGTGAGAAGAAAATGACCTTGAAATCATTTGTAATGTTTAACTTGTCAAGAATCTATTTTACATCTTCTGCCCTCAGATTGCTGTTTCTTGCCACAGACTGCAATGGTCCTCAAGTAGCCAGTTTCTATGAACAACTCAAGCAAGAACAGTACTTCAAAGTACCAGATAATGTAAGAACGACATTACTTTATTGAAAACGAGAGTGAAATCTGTTTAAAAGCATTATACTTTAAACGACATTGGAGTAGATGTGAAGGTTGATATTGATATTTATAAAATGTTAGACATCCAAGTATGTAGTGTATAAATTCCAAATAATAATTGAATTGGTTTTATATGATATCCTCATTGGTGTGGTTTAAAATGAGTAAATTAAGCATATCTGGGTATAAAGACAAATGTGGATTTATCTGTAACAACCCTGCTGTTTCCATATCATCTGAATTAAATTATCAATGATAAATAATTATCATTCAAATGTGAAATTCATAAATCAGGTAAGTTGTTTATTGGTACTCAATTTTTGGTCTATGACAAAGCTTTGAAAGTCTTCACAATTATACTTTGATTCTGTTATCTTGGTGTCCAGGTTCTGTCTAAGATTCGAGAAGACTATGGTTTCCATGGAGATTGGTGTGATGAAGAAACTTGCTCTAAGGCTATCAAAGAAACCTTCGAGAGAACAGGTATGATTATTACGAGTATTATTCATTACTATGAGGACAGGTTCACTCTATGTAATGAAGTTAATTTTTTACAATGTCCTGTAAAGTCGCCTTTGCAATAATTTCTACAATAATGGTTCCAGCATGTCTGTCTGGCACCAATCCCTAGATACATGGTTAAGATAATGGCAGTATGAAGAGTAGAACAGCTTGGTAGGGAGCAAAAAGACATTGATAGAATTATACCTGTGATATCAGATATAATATTTTGTACATGTAGATGTTTTCAACCATCAAGTTGATTGTTCCACAATTCTGGTTCCAGGAATTTATAGATAGCACAAACTCAAAATGGTGAAAGGAATATTAGATTTTTGTTGTTGTTTGGGGGAAGGGGAGGAGGGGTGGCACTAATTTAGTCAGCTCTCAAAGTAAATGATGTAATAAACTCTTTCATTTCATATTCTCTCGTAAAGGGTACCTTCTAGACCCCCACACAGCTATCAGCAAGGTGGTAGCAGATCGCCACCCCTCAGACGATGGAGCCCCAATGCTGATCTGCTCCACTGCTCACCATGGCAAGTTTGCATCCGACGTTCTCGACTCTCTGGGCCACAGAGCAAGTCACTCCGATAAACCGGACACACTCTTGAATCGACTGGGGGTCCTGAACCCTCGACCTGGGCGGCACGTGAACCTTGAGAGGTCGATACGGAATCCCAGGGTTCATGAGAAAGTTGTGGATGCTTCGATGGAGTCCATGATGAAGGAAGTACAGGACTTTGTGCAAGAAAGGACACGGAACTGAGTGTATGAGGAGATGAATGCATCGGGCTTGCTTGATGTACTTTTGTTGTGGTAAAAAAAATAGTTGAAGGTTTAACCAAAGATTATTTAAGAAAAGACCTTTCCAGTCTTGTAGTCATTAAAAAATTGTTTGTTCTATGTCATGAAAGTAATTTCCATGGGGTATTTTGTTATCATTCTCATGTTTATTTTGTTGCCATTATAATTGTTTGTTATAATTTGTACTACAGCAATATCATTCATTTTTTTCTTCAAACATGAATATATAGATATATGTAGGTTTTTGGAGGAATCAAATAGATTTCAGAATCTGCTTTAAAATTTTGTATGAAGTTGATTGACATGCTTTATACGTCGATTTAATAAAATAACTTAAGAAGTATTTCCCTGTATCTGTGAATCGCATAGTCTAAAATGTGTATCATTCTCTCATATAATTATTCATATTTTTTAATAAGTTCAGCAGGATTCTGCATCTTACTTGTTTAACTGTGAGTGGAAAGACTTAAAATCCCATTTCTAGCCCTTTCCTTTAGCACACTGAAACCTTGACTTGACATAAAAACTCTGTGTCAATTGTGAGTGTGTGAGTTTTGCTTGTGCTGTGTGTATATCAGACATGGTGCACAAGTGCACAAGTCATAAGCAGCATTGTTATACTGATTACACACCTGCAATTTCTATAAGCAAACACATGACATACCATAATTTTACGTTTCTTGTTCTGCTTTCATTGCTGTGAGATATGTATTTAGGACTCACCTTGACAAGTTATTTATTCAACCTATTTGTATCCCTTACTATATGTACAAGAAGAAATGTACAGTACTTGAAGCAAACATGCTGCATACAAATATATTTTCTTAATGATTATTATTATGAGAATATAAAAAGGAAGCTGCTTGGATTGATCACTAGATTAGTAAAGTTACTTGAGGATTTATGAATCTATTTATAATATTACATTTTCTTTACTTATTTCTTGGAGGGGATGACAAGTATTTGATCTAGCATTTTTGTTATGAAAACTATTTGAAAGATGTCGGTTATCATATTATTGACACTACGCAGATTGAGTGAAATGAAAAGTATGTGGCATGGTTTAAAAGAAAGGAAACAGAAATTTGTCAATCTTGTTCCATGTATATCTTCCTATTCATGTGTAATTATACCTACTTTATGTATTTTTATAGAGTTTTGGTTGTGAATAGTACAGCTCCACTATCTTCTTCATTTAGATGCCTTGAGGGATCACTGTACGTTAAGTATTTTATCATCATTCATTATTCATCTTAAAGGTATTGTTCTGAGATGATGTTTACAGGGTTTCTTATGGGCTGAATTGCAATACAATCTACATAAATGCCCACTTGCTACACTTCAGGTCAAATCTGCTTTAAGTGCCTTAGAATTGTGCTAAACAAAAGCTACATGTATTCAAAATCATTATAGATTGAATTTTGCTACGCATTTAACCTGATATGTGAAATAGTACTCATGTTTAAGAAAAGAATCATCTTCCCTAAAGAAGAAAATATGTGATTTTTTAAAATTTCAGCAGCATTATTTAGTGGGCAAATCATGTACCTGAACTAAAATGGAAATAAATGATAGAGATATACTAGGAGAAGATCTTTAATTGTTCAGTCTGATTGGTGTTCTGTTGATTGTTAAGTAATTAAGACGTAATTAACACAACAAAATTTCAAGTATTAACTATATTTATGCATTTACCGTCACCAGTATTTATTTACTTACTCCCCCAGATGACTCCAAGCATATAATACATTTACTAGATATGATAAAAGAAGTCAGAAAAAAGACTGATCAAACCTGTTTCTCTTGCAATCTAATTCTATCACCAGGATTTGAGATAATTTAAATGTATGATAATAATGAAATCTTACCGAGTATATAAGTTTTGCATTGATATATACATGCCAGCATACTACAATGATGCACTGAATTATCTCTTAAACAGTTGTGTTCATTAGCATTTTCTAATACATGGTAGACTCTATATAAAATACAAAAATACAATCCTTGAAGGAATACTGTACTTAACTACTCTGCAATAAGAGTACTGGTACATTCCTTTTTTTTCATCATTCTAGATGGATTTCCACATCAAATAATTTGCAATAAATTTCAAGCGAAAGCTCATTTACATGAATGGAATAATTGTACTGAGAAATGTAATGATGCATTGCTAGAGATATTTCTTGACAAATTTCCTTGCTTCAAGGTAAAAAAAAACTTAGTACTGCAATCTTGACATAAGTAAGAACACGTAATATAAATGCACATAATTTATCATGCTTCACTGATTGCAAATATAATATTAGACTAAAATAGAGAATCAGATTATTTCATTATTTACATTGCACTAATGATTCCATTTTGCTTTTATTTAGCTTCAACTACACAAGTTAGTTATCCTTGTGTTAGACAAACTTAATATCTGGGTGGTGGAATTTAAAAATGAAAGGTAAACTTTATTTACTCACCAAGAAATAAAAACAATATATACATTCATGATATTCATGAGATCATAACATCTAGATGAGAAGGTATTTCAGAATTGTCAATAAAATGTCATAAAATATCAAGGCACATCAGAGAACATACATTCAAACATTAAAAATGCCATCTACATACCTGTGAAGGGAAAAAAATCAATTAAATTTTTGATTCACATGCTTCATGATGTAATTAATATTTACAAATGTATAACCTTTGTATATCCCATTATATATGCACTACAAAAAAAGATATATACATGTACAAATACGTCAATTCAAATTTTAGCCAAAAAAGTAAAGATATTTGCTTCATATGCACATCAATATGACTACAAGTTTAACAACAATTGTTTCAATACTGCCCCAGCATGGTAAGTACTAATAAAAAGTACTAATAAAATCAATCAATCGATCAATCAATACACTTGACTTGAAAGCTTCATTGCTCTTGGTACAAGGTCCACTAGAACTACAGGTGTTACATGATTTTGAAAACCCTGGAATGTCTAGGTTTTTTTTTTAAATAACACATAACATAACAGTGAATTTGAGTTGCTTATTGGTGGTTTGAGCCTACAGGTCATGCAGCCCTTATATAAAAATAAGAATATAGTTGGCAAATTTCTTCAAGATTGCAGTATAATTTTGATAATACAGTTTACATAAGGATTATGCATGGTCAAAATACAATGAAAGTGCAAAGAATGTACCATTTTTTTCTGAGTAAAGCCCAAGAAAATATTAAAGGCCCTTATATGAAACATATTTTTATATTTGTGGTTTACAAAAGTAAGATTCTTCCACATCAACTTTAAGCCCTTCGTTTCAATTGATTATCTTTGAATTGAGGCCTATTCTACATCATTCAACAAAGCGGCTTTGTTTACATCACGCCTCTGATCCATAGCTAGCTCACCGTTGTTATCACCCTTACACTGCATCCTCTCGGCCTCCCTATCTCTCTCTAGATGCTCCTGGCAGTGACGTCGTTTCCAGTCTTGCACTGAAATAAAACGAGAGAAAGAGAACAAAGATGACGGACTTGAGGCCTGAATGATCACTTCCTGACAGGTTCTATCGTTGGATGTCTAGAGTAATTATTACAATAAATCACAGTCAAGTCATTCAGAAAGTGACAAATATTTGGCTAATAGGAGATCTAGATTTTCTTATGAAAGGATGAGGAGACCAAGGAGTTCATACACAATTGGCATCTCTGTATACAGAAGTAGAGATGATCTTCCTCTCAAGGCCTGTTTTCTGGCAATATAATGTTTTTCCCTTCATATATGAGCATTTTTTATAGTGGATAATTGAGTGCATTTCCAATTCAAAGAGGGTTCATGCACAATCAATCTGAGCTGTTAAGGAAGCACCATCACAGAAGGGGAAAAAAACAGATTAAACACGAATGTATAAGACAAAAGTACCTTGACAATCTCTACTGCAGTAGTACTTTCCCGGCTTGATCTTCTGTTGACGACACCTGAAAGGAACAGACAACGGACAACTTGGTCATCAATGAAACTGAAAGATACAGGTGATTGGTGAACAGACAAACAAACAGGAGCGAGAAATAAAGAGAAAGCGAAAGAAAACGACAGTGATGAGGCCGGAGGCACATATACCTGAAATTGTTCTCAGAATTAATCAAATTACACTGTACTATATTGTATATGTCATTAAGACTACATGTAAGTAAAATGAAATATATTTAAATTGATTAAAATGAATTTATCTTGATCTAAATTAAAAAACAATATATGAAATCTTATCAAATATATTGATTTAATACATTACAATAAAGAATTTACAAAATCTTACTGCTGGCATTTCTTGTAAGTCTTTGGCTTGTCCTCATGCTTGCCGCATAAGGCACACTGTCTCAGATTATTAATCTTCATCTCAGTGAATTCATCAGACATCCCTATGTCAACACTTTTAGTAGTTTCCTTGGACGCTTCTGCAGGGTGATCTTTCAGCCTGTCAACTGATTTTCTTTCATCCTGAGCAGTGCAACATCCAGCTTCAGCAGGTTGATTGGTGATTGCAGGAACTTGTTCCTTCTGCTTTGGACCAGGAACTTGTACCTTCTGTTTCATCTCTGTACCAGGAACGTGTTCCTTTTGTGTCATCTTTGTATCAGGTACTTGATTGTCCTGTTTCACCTCTGTACCAGGAACTTGTTTTTTCGGCTCCATCTCTGTGTCTGGAATGTGTTCTTTCTGCTTCATCTCTGTACCAGAAATGTGTTCCTTTTGCTTCATCTCTGGACCAGAAACTTGTTCCTTTTGCTTCATCTTTTTATCTGGTTGCTGTTCATTCTGCTCCTTCTCTTTACCAGGAACTTGTTCCTTCTGCACCACCTCCTTAACTGGTGGCTGTTCCTCTTCTTTTGGAGTCTCATCGTTTCCTACATTTGTTGTTGCATTTTCACTGTCCTCTCCTTTGTTTTCTTTCTCTTTGTCCCCAGCTCTTCGGAGTTCTTCACCCCACTGTTTGTTTTCTTCATCTTTGCTCTCTATGTCTCCATCTTCGCTCTCTTTTTCTGGTTCAAAATAACATTCTTTGTATTCTCCCGCACCACTCATTTCAATCTGGGGAATTAGAGATACAAATGAAATTATTATTAATATGGTTTTTGTTTAATGCTTAAAAATTTATATTATCTGATTCTTATACTTCTTTTTTAAAAGGCCCTTCCAGATTACAGTACTTTAAAGGTAATACAAAGTTTTGGTATGGGGTCATGGATTTGGTTCAGATTAACATATTGGAAGCATATGCGTTCCTACAATATTCATTGATCGTTGTCGCGGTTGAAATCGAGTCTAAAGTTATGAAATTATAAATAATAAACTCTGTATGTTGTATAGCTCCCTATAAAGGTCAAGATATTAATTAAGCTATAAAACAATTTTTCTTGATTAAAATCGACCAATCAGCTATTCCTGTTTGAAAATTATATACACTGTATCACATCTACCTATTCCAAGATTTTCATGGTTGCAGCTACCATTGTACGGCCGTAGGCGCTATTTGAAATTTATCAAAATTTACCGGGAGCACCGGTAAATTTTTACATTCAACTTTTCTCGAAAGCAGAAGTGTTTAAGGGGCTAAATTTTCTAGTGCTTCTAATACATCCACAGGGGCATCCAAATATATCAAAATTGTAAATAATCACTATCCACCCAATTTTCAAAATTTCCCAAAACTTTGTATTACCTTTAACCAGGAGTATTCACAATTTTGGTTCTAGAAGTGGAAATACTTAAATCACTCTTTTTATTAAGTTTACCATTCACATCATTTTACAGAAACGGATATGCAGTAAAACTTTGCTTTGATTTCATTGTCATAATTTGTCATTTGATGGAAAAATCTCCGTCTCCCACAAGACTTACTAGTAACTTGACTCATCACTGTCAAAGATGTGCTCCATTTAGTCATCTAGAAAATAGCACCTTTTATTTACTGATTTGGAAGTATTTATCTGCTTGGTGTGAAATTAAAATGTAGGTTACTGCCAGATTTGTGAAATTAATTACCTTTTTCTTCATTTCTTTCTCAATCTTCCTATTTTGTTCTACATCCGCTTCGTTACCACCAGGGTCTAGTATTCGTATTCGGCATGCACCTGCTTTAGGATTGGGCATAGGTGGTTTCACACGTCGCTTAGGTAGTGAAACTCCCACGATTTTCTTTGGTTGTGTTCTCTCCAACTCTTCAATAAAACCAGGAACTTTTCTGCATTCTAAAAAAATCAGGAAAATAACGGGGAAAAAAATTCTTGAAAGAATTATTGTGAATTCATGATCAAGTAAAACAAGAGGTTACATGTTGCTTGTCTACATTAGATAGCCTTTGTACAATTGTCACTTATTCATTTCCAGTTCAATTCTGGAGACTGCCAAGGAGGGGGGGGGGGGGGATTTTTTTAAACTGAGGAATTATCTTGTTAAAATACTATCCCACATTAATCTGGGGGATGTTTCATATAGCTGTTCGTAAATTTACTCATGACTTTACGAACGACTTAAATATGAAAAGCCAAATGGGATGCTCAATCATTATTAACTGCATCAACTAAAGTTGAACTGTGCAGATGTAGATT